TTTATTTTCACTTTGAATCTCATGCATATCATGCATACATGTAAGGCATAGAAAAATACAAAAAAAATCGAAAAAAATTGAAAATCTTTTGCATTTTTTGCAAACCAAAAAAAAAGCATGTAGTTGCATTTCATTCCTTTAAGATTGAGTCTAGTGTTGACATATAGGTTTCATTGCATTTGCATAGGGCATTATGATGAATTTTCCTTGTAAAGTGCTTAGTGTTTAGAGATGATTTCAGTTTTCAAGTGCTTAGTTGTTTGATGCATCACATGATTGCTAGAAGTTAAGGCTGAACCATGCTTAGACTGCTAGATTTGGTCTTCTCATCTCATTCTGAAAGCATTTGTTCTCTGAAAATCAACTCTATCAACTTGAACTTTAATTTGAACTTTCAATTATCATGTCTTATGCATTGAAAAGTGAATTCATGGCTACCATATACATATTTGGATCATCTTTCTCCTTTCTACCATTCTTGTTGATCCAAATAGCTGATCCTCATACTTATGGGACAGTTACATCCTCACCCTTAACCAAAACCTCCTTTTGAGCCTAAACACTATTGTGAGAGCTGTGAGGCCTTTGCATTGCATTTTCGATTTTGTCTTGGCAAAAAGTGTTAGGAATAAGGCTGGCAATGATTAGCTCTCTTGTAGATATCAGCTTGCATCTTGAGCTTGATTCTAGGATAGGAGTTTTTGGGGTTTGAAAGGGTAGAGTTAGGTGGTTTGAGCTTAATGTTTTTTTTATCTTTTGAAAAGAAAAGGGAAAGATTTGAAATGGTAGATAAAGGGGAAACAGTTTAGTATTGTGGTTAAGCAAAGGGAAGAAAAGCTCTAAATTCAAAAGGAAGAATTGGCGCCAACAACAAAGCGCAGAGAGGGTCCAAAGAAGAAAAATCAGACCAGGAGCAATCCACCAAAGGTGATGAAGGTGCCATTACAATAAAGAAGAGCAAGTCCCAACCAAGAAGAAGCAACCACACAAGCAGAATGAAGAAGGTTTCCCCAACCATGAATAAGAAGAAAGAAAAGGGTAGAGTTTAAGAAAGGGTAGATTTAGAGGGTTCACTTTTGGGTTTAGAAATGCTTAGGACTCATCTTTGGGAAGTAAGGGTAGAAGAGGGCTTTGAATTGCATGCATAAGTGTGCTTTTACCTTTAGCATTTTGCCTAAGATGAAGTCATTTCATTGAGTGATCCTTTATGTCTTTAACCCTGTGCTTAAATGAGATCATTATTGTCTCATAACCTTACCCCTTTTCAACCAAATGTCTTCACTTGATTTGCATAAGCATGATTCATGTTCTGAACTTAATTGAATGTTAAAGAGTTGATTGATTTGAGCATTTGCCTAAGTTGAGATTTGAGACCATTTTGAAACATGATGAGCATGGCTAGGTTCTTTTAAGTATAGCTGATTGTGTTTGCATCCTACAACTAGGCACTTGAGCATTAAAACCATCTCTTTACCTTTGCACTTTTGGAATCTGAATGCCCACTTTCAAACCTCACTCTCCCATTTGTTCTTACTAGCTTGAGGACAAGCAAAAGGCAAGTGTGGGGGTGTTGATATCCCTTGTATTTACACCATGTAGGACTGCATTCAGTACATGTTTTGGTCCTCTTTTGCATATTTTCCCTTAGGTTTTGTCCCATTTTCTTCTCCTTTTAGACTTAGGTTGCATTAGGAGTATAGATTGCATTTTTCTTGCATATTGGATGTTTTTAGGTGCTTTTGGAGCTTAAAGGAGCTTGGAGGAGCTTTGGAAATGATCCAGGAGGCTAGCTGGACAAAAGGGAGTAAGAAGGATCAAAGCAGAAGATCTCTGCAGAAGTTTTCGGTCAGAGCCTGGAATTTTCGGTCTCTGGTGACCGAAATTGAGCAGTATCGATCACCAGTATCGGTCTGATGTGGTCGACACAAACACACCGTTATAATTTCGGTTGTGTGTGTCGATCACTGATGACCGATACAGATAAATTTCGGTCACTGGAGGTCGACACAACTGACCGATACTGACCCAGCCCGAACCTGTTTTTAATTACACTTTTGCCATCTTTCTAGGGTTTTCTCCCTTAGGCTATAAAAAGCCCCTTTTCTATATTTTCGGGAGGTCTTGTCAAAATACTGTTCTTAAGCTATTTCTTTAAGTTTGTAAGACAATTTCTTTGCTTTGTTTAATACAATCAAGTATTTGCTTTAATCTTTCTTTTAATCATGATTAGCATCTTCTCCCTTTGTGATTTTGTGTTAAACATGATTATTAGTGAGTAGTTACCTTAGGGTTTCTAGATGTGGTAGATTAGGGGAATCTATGGCTTGATTAGGGTTTGTTATGTGCTTCTGTTTATGGGTTCCTCTCTATTTATCTGTTATTCATGCTAGATTAGTCTTGATCAAACTGGTCTAGGTTGTTAGCTTTCTCTTATGCCCACCAAGTGTTTGATGAAATGCTGAACTTGTTTAATAGAGGATTTGCTGGCCTTGGCTCAAGAGATTGACTGTTTGAGGAGCATTTTGACTTGAATAGAGTTGATTAGTCTTGCTTGCTTGATGTTTTAGCACTAATGAGAGTTAGTTCTTGTTAAGATGTTTAGCAAAGGGTTATTTGCCAAGAGATTGGATCTAACTAGCTTAGTTGTGAACTCTATGTCTAGGAACCACCATTGCTTGCTTACTTGCTTAATCAATGTAGTTTGAAACAGCCTTAATCAATGTCTGAAATTCCCCAAAGTCAATAACCACATCTAGGAACTTGTCTTTCTCTAATTTGAATCACGGATTTGCTCTGTTTTGCTCTGTTTTACTCTGTTTTACTCTGTTTTTCTTGCTTAGAATTGCTTAGTTTGCTTTTGCTTTCACCTTGTTGCTGCTTGTTTCACTTAGGTTGTTAGAACTGTTGCTTAGGCAACAAAACCCCTTTCCTGGCTTGCTTGACTTAGAGATTCCACTCTCAACTCTTCTGTCTTTCAACTCTTCCCATTTGGATTGATACAACCCTATGCTATACTGCAACTGACTAGTACAAGCTAGGGAAATTGTCCTACAAGGAGTAAAACCCTTGTATCATTAATCTTTTAGATTGTTAGACATTCTAAACTATCTTATCTGCTTGAATTAAGAGCTCTATTGCATTCCTGCTGTTTCAATCTTCCTTTTTTAGACTGATAAAACTCTTATCTACAATGATTAGTACAAAAGATGATTGACCAAGAGAGTCAAAACTCTTGTATCAGTGATTAGCAAAGGAGTTAGATCCAAAGACCACAGACTAACCTATTGTTGAATCCTATGCGTAAGGATTAGTGTTTAGTTAAATGTTGTTTAGCATTTGTTAAATGATGTTTAAAACATCATAGTGAAACCTAAGAGTTCCCCAACTCAATCACTCCTATCCTAGGACCCATTCTTTATTGTTAAAGAATTTATTTGAAATCATTGTCTAGTGATTGATAGCTTGATTAGTAGTCATTGCAAAATCTTGTTTTCAATTACTATTGTTTCTTTCTTGTTCTTGTTTAGTGAAAGGTTACTCCTTTGTCTAGGTTGCTAGACAATAAACAATTTTGATTGCCATCTTGACTTAGATTAGCTACTATAGTCTTAATGTATTGAATCACTCCCCATTTGGATTTGACAAAGCCCTCACTATACTACACATTAACTAGGTGTTGGGTTATTGACTAAGTAGTGTAAAAACATTGTTGAATCCTATGCCTAATAATTACGTTTAGTTAAATGTTTTTTAGCATTTGTTAAATGATGTTTGAAGCATCATAGTGAAACCTAAGAGTTCCCCAACTCAATAACTCTCATCCTAGGACCCATTATTTATTGTTAAAATTTTTATTCGAAATCATTGTCTTGTGATTGATAGCTTGATTAGTATTCATTGCAAAATCTTGTTTTCAATTACTATTGTTTCTTTCTTGTTCTTGTTTAGTGAAAGGTTACTCCTTTGTCTAGGTTGCTCGACAATAAACAATTTTGATTGCCATCTTGACTTAGATTTGCTACTATAGTCTTAATGTATTGAATCACTCCCCATTTGGATTTGACAAAGCCCTCACTATACTACACGTCTTAAGTAGGTGTTGGGTCATTGACTAAGTAGTGTAAAAACCTACTTATCAATTGTCTCTAATTGTTAGTCTTGATTAGTATTGCATTGTTTTCTTACTTTGCTTAGTTTGATCCTTGTTTGTGATTAAGTTGTTAGCTTCTTTTGAGTTTGTTTACTTGTTTAAAATTCATTTAGGTTGATAAACAAAACCCCACTTTGGGATAATTTCATGAATTCTTGATGTTGTTAATCTTAACCTTTTTGGACTAATCATTTATGTCAACGTATCCAAAAATTTAGCTACTATTTTAGTCAACTCTAACTTCTTGTTAAGAAGCATTAGTCACCATATTTATTGTGGATGTTAAAAAGAACTACGTTATTTATTGTTGACGAGAAATTTTTCAAAATTCTCAATTCTCATTGTCGTTCCCAGATTCCTAATTTGCTGAAGACAAGAAACCCTTCTCTCTTATCATCCGTGGTAATGATTTACAGAATCAATTTCAGAGGACGGTGTACCATCGTGGATGACTAAATTTTGGAAAAACTAATTATTTCATAGTTCAATACCACTTCAAAGTGAATGCTTATAAAGTATTAGAAAAATTGAGCTATCACTGTTTCACATACCTCTCATTCGTGACTGAGACTCTACGAAACAAGATTTTTCAATAAATATAATAAAATTGACATTATGTATGTACGGTATTAAGTAAACTCCATTTTATTTTTTTCATCTTGAACTTAGGTTTTCGACTGGAAAATAACATGACGAGAGAAAATGAAATTTGTATCAAGAGAGCATGTTTACGCGAAACAAAACTTAAATTTGTGACCATAATTGCGACAGAAAATAGCCATATATATATATATATATATATATATATATATATATATATATACTGTATATGCAATAATTGACTCACGCCCTAGAGTAAACCTCTTTCAAAGAGAGTGGCTTTCATAGCTTTCAATGAATCCTCCATTTCATCAAGGAGCTCTTGAGGATCCGGTATGACCATAGGATCAATCGCTATCGAAATTAACATATCCTTCGCGTAACTTGTAAAGTGTATCAATAATGCCTACCAACCACAGAAACATATAAACAAACTTTTATTTATTCATTAATCATGCAACAAAAATACGTAATTTTTCTTTTGATTGCGAATGTAAATATATTATTAGAAAATGGAATATTTAGGTTTTACAAGTTGTATTGACAACTTGCTTAAAATTACGTACTTGTGAGTGTCCGTATGTGCTTAGAGCGATGTAAGCGATTGGGTGGCCTTTGAAACTAACTTCTTCAATAGGGCCAGTGACATTTGAAAGGCATAACGTTGTGTTTGAAGCGGTTCGTTTTAATATCACTGCTCCTATCTATAACGATAAGAGTGTCTTAGAAAAGTCATCACAGTGAAAACAATAAACTATTTTACTTAAGTTCATCACTTGTACCTTAGCTCCGAGGATATTGAAGATCGACTTGATAGACCAAAAAATTATAGTAGGGAGAAGAGAGTTCTTCATTCCATCCATTGTGGATTTAGTTTTTGATAGATAAACCAATGGATCCGTTTCTAAACCGGTAGAGAATGGAAAAAGAAACAAGCTAACGTAGTTTCCCCATCTGCATTTTGAGCCCTTAGACATCATATCTGCCAAAGGCTTTATACAGATATATGTATGTTACTTGTTAGACAAGAAAAGTTTTTTTGCTGAGCTAGATTTCAACTTCAGAAGTAAAACTCTAACCTGAAGCCCGACTTCCGACCTAAGATTTATCGCAACACCTGAACGAATTCGTATTCCATCCTCAGGTTTCCTATTGCCTTGTTTAACAAGAAACAACACAACATGCAAAGCATTAGACGTAATCGGATGCACACAAATATTTGTATAGCATTTTATCGTTTACCATATCGGCAGTTCATATAGCGGGAAACACTGGCTTGCGTAACTCCGAGTAGAACATCATTGATCGTCTTGCAGCATTTTGCACAAGAGGAATCATACCATACCATGTTCATAGCTTTCTTTATAAGTCTTATATCATCCAAGGACACAGTTCGGTGATAAAACCTTCTCAGATTACTCCCAGTATCCTTACGGCTATGCAGAGGTGTTTCTGTATCTTTCAAGAACAATATTGTCGCCCAAACTAGCAAAACATCTATAACGGTATTCCAAATCAATATTAATGCATTGCACATGGTGAATATAAACTTCATAAACCAGTTTTTTTTTATAAGGCTGAACGATGTTGTTCCGCGTCTTTTCAAGGCAGGGATAGTAGGAAATGCCTTAGGGTCTGATGTTTTACGTGTAGACGCCACCAAAAGAGACATCAGAGACGTTGCATCTCCTAAGGAGTGGTGAGTTCTTATGACAGTGACTGCTTCTGCGTCAGATGTCTTGACGTTAAGGATGTGAATGTCCCATAAGGGTGTTGATTTATCAAGAGTAATCATCGTTAGACGTGAGATGTAGTCGCCGACATACTCATCTCCATTTTGACCGATCTTGTCAAGGTCTACGTTCGGTACAACTACGTGGTCTTCAATATTAACTTTGGTCTTGATCCATTTTCTACCATCATATCCCTGAGATAGTTAGCACAATAGATATGAATCATTGTCTCAAAACTGAACTATAATCACAATTTGGAGTTTCTCATGTTGAGTCTCCCAAAGTGTAAAAACAAATTATATTAATATTTATTTAATTACTTTCTCAAATACTTGAGAAATCCAAAACAGTCTCTTAAATACACTTTGAGAGACTCAACATGAAAGGCTCCAACTAATAATGCTGCTCAATTAATTTGTTTTGCGACAATGTCTATAAATTGTTTTTTTTTTTGTCAAGATACTTTTTTACCTATTATTTTTACTTTTACCTCTTTTAAAGAAGTTGAAAATATTTTATAGAGATTCTCACATTAAAATGTAATACAAATAAAGAAAAATAATGAGAACCAATTCTCATTTTCAGAGAATTTCATAAACTCACGAAAACGTTTTACATGGGACATATGTCTACCTATGAGTGGTTTAAACTTTTTATGCTAAATTAAATACCAAAAAATTTACATGTTGTTATTTTTAAAAAAATAAAATTATCTACTTATAATGAGTGTAATCATTTATTTATTTTGGATTGATAGTACAGTAGTTAACATTGATATAATAAATATTCATTAGTATTGTTTGTTTTAAAAGAATTTCAATTTAAATTACACTAAAATATTAATATTAGATTAAAGACAGATTTTATAGTATCCGTATCCGAGAAAACTAAAATGATGGAGGCGGACAAGACATTGTCTGAGGGATGATCGAGTCAAGGTTTGGATATTGGCTAGAAAATGGAAAGTTAAGACTATAGTCGAGTGATGACTAGGAAATAGTCGAAGGATGGCTGGGATAGCTGAGCCGGATGGACCATATCCGAGAGAAAATGGTCCAGTCCGTGAGAAAAATGAATTAGTCCGAGAAAGAGTGGACTGTGTCCGGAGAAAGGAAAAGTCTCTGAGAGAAAAATGGAAATTAGCTGAGGTGGTTTGGTTTATCCGAGGAAAAAATAGAAAATGACCGGACTTAAAGAAAATAACTCGGGTAAAGGCGGTTTATCCGAGAGAAAAGGAAATAGCTGAAGGAAAAATAGGCTGGGTTCGTGGGCTGTTCACTAATAACAGAGGGAATGGGGATTTTCCTACTCGATATAGGATTTTCTCGGCTAAATGTGGATAATTAGTGTTTAGCTCAGATAAAAGGAGCAAAACTAATTATTTCTTCGGAAGCCGCTTATAAGTTAAAGGTTTTACCGTGAGAGAGAGATTTTAGCCGCGAGAGATCTGAAAACACCAAGCGAATTAAGAGTTACCGGAGAGCACTTCAGATCGTTCGTGAGAATCTTGTAAGTGATCGGATATTTTCCTTAGTGTCGACTTTCCATTGGATAACCTTGGACTAATCAGTGTGTTTTGTGAGATTTCTGAAAACAGAGTTTGGCTCGAGGAAAGGTGAACAGATCGAGAGATAGCCGAGGAGAGAGAGATCTGATCGTAGCGATAGCCGAGAGATTTCTAGGGTGATCGGATATCTTTGAATTTGTGCGAGTTTCACCGGGAGTTTTTCTGACCAATCTGTTTCCAACCTTGTCTAAGGTGAATGTGTGACTGTGGTTAGTATTTAGGATCGTTGGATTGCTAGGGTTTGATGTTTTGCATGTTTGATTGTGTGATTTACATGTTTTGTACTTAGCGTGTGTTAAACGATTCTATACTATGATATTGTGAGGTGTTTACCATGGCATAGATGATGTCTAGCTAACCTCAGGATAATCCGAATCATGTACTAGCTTAGCGGATGTGGGATTCTCGCTGAAGTAGACATGGGTCTTAAAAAGAGATTGAACTTGGGCGGTTAGGGTAGATGATCATGGCCGTTTGATATGTGTTGTGTTAATTGCAAATTAATTGTGTGGATATTGAATCCGATAGTATGAACGCGTGAATGGTACTGATCTAGGTGTTATGGGATGACCGTACTCACTAAATATTTATGACAATACTTGTGCCTCTCTTGTTTGAGTGTGCAGGAACTACGCAGTAAGTGGAGCGAGACCGATGGCAGTGATGTACATGGATGGATCGGGGATTGGGTGCTTTTATGTGTAAGACATGTGTTTTGTCTTATAGGCTTTGGTGTTTGACTGTTTTAGTTTGCTAGATGATATGTTGTATTGTTAGCAAACCGTTGTGCTTTGGTTTTAAGTGAACCATGAATCTTGTTTAAGTGTTGTTATTCAAGTTGTAGTGGAATGAAATGGTTTATTAAATCTGCTGTGCATTGATTATTGCTAAGAAAAGTTTCAAAATTTGCCTAAGTATAGAAACAGACTGCTAAGATGTAGTGAAGGCAAGGCTGCGGTTTATGTAACACCTCCGACCGCCCCTACCGGCGAGTCACCCATCCTTCCATCGGGCTCGTCGGCCCCGTCCCTGTCCAACGGTTGGTGAGTTATTTTCCCCGGAGCCCAACCGACTTATTTACTGATCCTGCAATCATTACATGCTATTTCCCCATGTTTTGACCTCACTCCCACGGTTTCGGGAATCACTTCTCGAAAGGTCACCCATCCTAGTCCTGCTCCAGCTCAAGCACCCTTAATGTGGAGTTCTCTCGGGACCAGTGACCGAAAAGATATGTGCACTTTAGTGACATAGGTAGCCAAATTAATCCATTTAAACTTATTTAAATTGGTCAGGCCCCGGGCGTTACAATACTCCCCCACTAAACGGGAATTCACCCCCGAAGTCTGATCCCGACAGTGTGAGCCTTAACCCCTGAATCCCAAGACAGTCTCCTGGGACAGAACCAGTTTGACATCCTAGGCTCTGATACCATTTGTAACACCTCCGACAGCCCCTACCGACGAGTCATCCATCCCTCTGTCGGGCTCGTGGGCCCCGCCCCTGTCCGACGGTCGGTGAGTAATTTTTTCCGGAGCCCAACTGACTTATTTACTGACCCTGCAATCACCACATGATATTTCCCCGTGTTTTGACCCCACTCCCACGGTTTCGGAAATCACTTCCTGAAAGGTCACTCATCCTAGTCCTGCTCCAGCTCAAGCATCCTTAACTGTGGAGTTCTATCGGGACCAGTGACTGAAACGATAAGTGCGGATAAGGACCGATAAGTGCGGATAAGGACCGCTAGGTGCGATGCACTGAAACGATAGAACTCCACAATTAAGGGCTACTAGGTGCGATGCACTGAAACGATAAGTGTGGATAAGGACCACTAGGTGTGATGCACTGAAATGATAAGTGTGGATAAAGACCACTAGGTGCGATGCACTGAAACGATATGAATGTCAATTGTTATGTCTTAGCAGATAAATGATGATGTGTGATTATTAGTGTCTAGGTTTATGTGTTTTGATGAGTGTGATATAATATTAAAAATGTTAATTATATTTCAGTGGGCAGAGATGATCTCCTTACTGAGTAATTCATTACTCACCCCCTTTCCCTTTTCAGCTTTGCAGGTTTGTTAAGATTAGCGCGCGAGACCAATGACTCAATGGGTTAAAGTTTTCCAAAAGAAGTTTTCAAGAGGTACTAGATGTCTCGACTAAGTTAGTTTGGTCGGAGCATCACAGTTTAGTTAGTCGGGTCGGGTCTCCACAAGTTGGTATCAAAGCGTTTTATGCTTCTAGGACTGGTTGTTGGTTATTGTTTTTGTTTGTTTGTGTGGGGTTTAAGGGGGTCTGATCCATTCTTCACTACCAGGTCTCGCGGTAAGGTTTTGTGTGTTGTGTTTGTGAACATGGATTGAGTTAGCTTTGGCTAACTGGCATGATTATACTTGCAGATGGTTGAAACCAGGAGAGCTGTGAGAAACAATGAGAATAAACAGGCCGCAGGGTCGATGAACTCTGTGAATGATGGTGTTCAGGATGTGGCAAGGGATGTCGAGGTACTAGAGGCTGGAGCTGCAGCTGGGAATGCAGCGAATGCAGCAGGGAATGCTGCGGGTGCAGCGAATGTGGCAGCAGGCGATGTTGTGGGTGTAGCAGCTGGGGTAGTTGGGAATGCGGCTGGAGTTGCTGCTAATGTGGCACCGGTGGGGCTAGAGGTTGTGCTAGGGATGTTGGCGCTGGTACTGGCCAGATTGCCTGTGGTGGGTCCTGCTCCAGCGGTTGCAGCAGCACCATAAGTAGTTCAGCCTGTTGGGGCTAATGCGGATGTAGTGGGAGAGGAAGCAGACCAGGTGGAGAGGGTTCCGATTTACCTCAAAGTGTTGGACTATATGGTGCGGTTGGGAACCAAGTTCTTTCCCGGTGGAACCACACCTATTGAGGTGGATGAGTGGAGGATGAGACTGGAAAGGAACTTTGAGTCTATCCAATGTCCTGAGGGTTACAAGAGGGACATAGCCGTGAACTACTTGGAGGGTGATGAACACACGTGATGAAAAGGTATCGTTGAGAGACTGGTGAATGCGAATTATTCGTATAAGACTTTCTCTACGATGTTCAGGAGTAAGTACTTCCCACATGAAGCATACAATAAGTTAGAGAAGGCGTTTATGTACCTTAGTCAGGGGACGCTGACAGTGAGGCAGTATGAGACTCAGTTTAATCAGTTGAGGAAGTACATGGCTCATGAGTTTGATACCAAGGAGAAGCTGATTCGCAGGTTCATGAGCGGACTGTGAGTGGAGCTAAGGAACAGATGTGTGGTCCGTGACTTCAGAAAAGTGGCCGAGCTAATTGAGAAGGCGGCATTGTTGGAGGCAGGACAGGTAGAAGCCGCTTTGATGACAGCTGGGGCAGGGACAGCTGTGGCCAAGGCGGGTCAGTCTAGTGTAAACAATTGGAAGTTCGGGAAGAGTGTACCGAGCAAAGAGACCGGAGGTCGCAGCATGTGCAGCAAGTGTGGAAAGGCTCACGTTGGAGAGTGTAGACGTGGTGGTGGAGGATGCCACAGGTGCGGAAGCTTGGAGCATTGGGTACGAGACTGTCCGGAAGAGGATCTGCGAGTGGTTCGTGTGTCCGGTAGTGACAGTGCGGTTTGGGTATGCTATGGGTG